GACCCACATTTGGAAAACGTCTCACCCCCATCCATCCGTGTGAATGTTGGGGAGTGTAGGCTTCGAGGCCATAAGCAAGGAGGAAGTGTCAACCGCAACGCCTGGCGTGCACTACCAGCACGCCTGGTGGTCAGACGAGGAATAGTTGTCTACAACCTAAACATAAGGACTATACATAAGGAAAGGGACGGAGGAGGATAATGATAAAAGGGAGGGAGGGAGGGAGGACGAGTAGGACCGATGGAGGGAGCAGGAGTGGGGAGGAAGCCGGGGATAGCGGTTAAGGGGGAGGGGGTGAGGAGCAAGGAAAAAGGAGAGGAGGCGAGAAGTGAGAACGAGAGAGAGAGGGATGAAGATGAAGAGAAAGAGGAGCGCGACACTGGCGTTGCGTTGGACGAGGATGGAGGAACGGACGGAGGGACGGACGACGGATGAGGGGAAGCAAGCGCAACAGAGAAGGAGCAAGGGTGGGGGAAGAGAGGAACAAGGGCAAGAAGGAGCAGAAGAGGAAGATGCGGAGGAAGGAAGCGTTGAAGAAAGGGTGGGGGGGGTGAAAGAGGTAAGGACAAGAATGGCAACGTCGTCGTCGCCGCCGATGTCGTTGTCTGGAGACGGGAAGGAGAAGGAGTAAAGGAGAATTGAGGGAGGATTAAGGAGAATTGAGGGAAGCGAGGAAGGCGTATGAGGAAGGAGTCAAGGAGAATAGAGGGAAGCCAGGGGGAATCAGGAGTAATCGAGGAAGCGTGGAGGAGGAGGGAATGAGGCAGGAGTGAAGGAGAATCGAGGGAAGCGAGGAGGAACCAGGGAGAGAAGCACGGAAGCACGGCGGGGGGGAGGGAGGGACGAAAAGAGGCCGGGACAGAGGCAGAGGGGGGAGGCAGGGCAGCGGCAGGAAGGCGGGGAGGGAGGGAGAAAGATGCCCCTTGCTCTTCTCCTCGTCTCCCTCCGCCTCCTCCCTCCTGTCTCCTTCTCTCCTCCTCCCTCCCTTTCCTCCTCCTCTCGGGTCTCCTCCCTCCCTCCTTCTCCCTCGTCTCCTCGTCTCCCTCCTCCTGGGTGGCTGCATCCACGGTGTACACCCGCTGGGAACTCGACTCCTGTTTACGCCCGGCGCATGCCAGCCTGCGGAATCCTCCCTCCTCCTCCAAGCCCACCCTCAAGGGCTGCTGCTCAGCTAGGCTTGGTGGCCCTTGCTGTCCAAGGTGCGTGAGTGGTGTGGATGCTGGTGGTGGGGCGTAGGTGTTGAGGAAGTGAGTGCGCCCTTGGTTACGGCGCAGGGGGCAGTCGCGCACGAGGTGTTCTTCTGACTCACACTCGTGGCGGTCGGACACACCCCATCAGGACCCATAGGTCTGCCTTGTCGGCCCGCGCAAAGTCCCCCGCTCCTCCTCCTCCCTCCCCTCCTCCTCCTCGTCTCCTCCCCTCCTCCTCCTCTCCTCCTCCTCCTCCGCCTCCTCCTCCTCCTCCTCCATCCTCCTCCTCCTCCTCCTCTCCTCTCCTCCTCCTCCTCACTCCTCCTCCTCCTCCTCCTCCTCCTCCTCCTCCCCTCCGTCTTTCCGCACGACATAATCATCGTCGCCCTCCCTCTTGCTCTCCGTCGAAGTCCTCCTTCCACGGACTTCGGTTCGTGTAGCGCCTCTGGAGAATCCATTTCGCAAATGCTCACCCGAACGGGCACGTGTCGAGCCCTCGGCTGCAAGACTATTCCTGGAGGCCCCAGGCAGCACCCGAGAAGCCCCCACGAGGCTCCCAACAAAACCTCAGGAGCAAAACGCAGCAACCACAGCACGGCGGCGGCGGAGGCCCCTGCGCAGCCTTCCCAAAGGATCCAAGGCAGCTCGTGACCGGCGTGGCGGCCTCCACCACACCAAACGACGACCGCTAGAGAAAACAAGGGGTCGGCGGATGTGGCGCTCACCTATACACTCAACCCGTAGAAAAAGGATGCGCGGCAAGGATGCAAGGGCCTTGGAGGCCCATGTAAACATTCTTCGAACGAGATTGGCCAGCGAAAGTCCACCACACCAAACGACGACCGCTAGAGAAAACAAGGGGTCGGCGGATGTGGCGCTCACCTATACACTCAACCCGTAGAAAAAGGATGCGCGGCAAGGATGCAAGGGCCTTGGAGGCCCATGTAAACATTCTTCGAACGAGATTGGCCAGCGAAAGTCGCTAAGGACGGGCCGAAGGGGCAAGGATGTGAGGGCACCCTTGGGAAGGTTGCCCATCTTTACTATGCGCGTTGACAGGGAGCCTATAGAATCCTCCCCTTTCCTCCTCACCCCCCTGCTCCACCCCCTCGAGGTAGCCCGACTGCTGCAGGAACGGCAACAAACTCATGTCCGTATCCGCCTCCTCCCTCAACTGAGCGACGATCAGAAACGGGTCTTACGGGAGATGACAATCAATCAACCCGTGTAGTAAGTATGCACAGTAAGGGTGCAAGGGCATTGTACGCCCATGCTTAAGTTCTTCGAGCGGGGCTGGCCATAGAGAGGAGTTGAGGATGGACCGAAGATGACCGAAGAGACAAGGATGCAAGAGTACCCTTTGGAAGTCGGTCGTCCTTACTATGCGAGTCGGCCTGCTCCAGGGGATCACCCTCGCAGGGTAGCTCCCAGGCTGGCCGAGAGTCGGCGAAAAGCACGCGGATGAAGAGAAGGCATCACTGACGAAACAGAGAGAAGGAATGGCAAAAAGGAGAGAGGAAAGGAGCAGGAGTCCTCCTCCTCCTTCTCCTTCTCCTCCTCCTCCTCCTCTTCTTCCTGCTCTTTCTTTTTCTCCTCCTCCTCCTCCTCCTCCTCCTCCTCCTGTTCCTCTTCGTCCTCCTTTTTCTCCTATTCTTCCTCCTCCTCCGCAACAGCAGAGAGAGGTGGACCGAGGGCGAGGAGGAGAGGGGACACGTCGTCCACCCGCACGGAGAAAACTCGCGAGCGGCTCCCTGCCCCCATGCGGAGCGCGTGGTTCGCGTCGGGCCCGGGCGGCTTGGCGATCCAGCGGCGGATCGTCTCGACGCCGCTGACGGCGCTGCCGCGGGCCCGCCTCTGCGAGAAAATGCGGCCGTGCTGTCCGGAGGGCGCCAGCCGTACATCTGCTCCGCTGCGGGCCGGGCTCGCCCTGGGCCAGGGGACAGGCGCCGTGGTGCCCAGAGGGCGTGCGCACCGACCGTGGGCCCAAGGTGGCCCGGGTAACCCTGGCAAGCAAACAGTAAACCCCCCGCGGACCTCTGGTGACCTGCGGGGGATATCGCTTCCGCCCCGGCCCCGGTGCCAGAAGCGTTATAATTTCCTCTGATGAGGGGTGGGGGGGGGGAGGGGGGTTTACTGATTGCTTCCCAGGGTTACCGACACCGATGCAGTCGCACACAAGCCAGAAGAACATCCTTCGACAGCATGAGAGGACAGCACGAGGAGCACTCGAGGACACCCTCCCCCAGGATGCACAGGAACCTTCCACGAGCACGACGAACACTGGGGTACCCTCCCCGAACTGACCTCGACCTCAGTCCGCCGCCGCATCTGGTTTTGGGTTAAAACTCGGGTCTGCGGTGGCCGTTGCAGACGATCCCGGCCCCCCTGGAACGCTCTCGGCGAGGCGCAGCTGCTGGCACGCATCCCGGGGCTGGAAAGCCGCTGAGGACCGACGAAGCCGCCCGAGAAAACCTCGAACCTCGCACCCGAACCTCGACCCTCGAACCTCGTGCCCTCCCCGAACCGACCTCGATCCCGTAGCCTAGTCCGGCTGTGCTCCCCCGGCCCCTCTCTGGCCATCGCTCGGACGTCCATGTCCTGTGTGTTTTTTCGGTTTCGTGCGTGCTTTTTTCGCCAAATGGTCGAGGATGCTCCTCGAAGGTCCTCGCCGAGAAACAAAAATGCACACGTCCGAGCGATGCCAAGCTCCAGGGGGGCAGGTCCTGACCAGGAGGCCTTCGAGGAGGAGCCGGCCGTGGCGACCGAGGGCTCTCCGGGGCGAGCCGCGGCAGCTCGGTGTCTCCTTTCGGGGAGACGTAAGACCCGGGTACGGGGGACTCGGAAATCCCCGACGAGGTCGTCAAAAAAATGACGAGGCCGAGCCTGCATTTTGACGAGGCCTCCCGCTGCAGACATCCCACAAAACTCCTCCTCGTCAAAATCCGAGTCGCGGTCGTCAAAAAACGATGGCGAACCCGAGTCCCGGCAAACCCGGGTCTTACGCTCCCCCGATCCTTGCCTCTCCCCGGGAGGGGAGGATAGCCCAGAATCGAATCGTCAAGTCGGACCGGCGTTCGACACCGACCAGCCATAACTGGGGGAGCTGTGGTCCTTACCCCCCTGGGGGGGACCCATCGCATCGACGATCTCTCGAGAGGGGTGTCGAAATCGAGGAGTCCCCCAGGGGGGTAAGGACCACAGCTCCCCCAGTTGTGGCTAGCCTGCGACATGAATCGGATCGACGGATCTCGGCAGCCGAGTCGGGAAACATCGAATCGGCAGGCATCGGCAGGCTAGCAGGCCTCCAGTGAGAGATCGGATCCCAAATCGGAATCCGACATCGAATCGAATCGCAATCGGGACCCCTCGAAATCGAATCGAACCGAATCGGCGGCGCCGAAATGAGCCCTGGGAGGGCCTGGCAAGGGTCGAAGTCCCCGAAGAGGTAGCACAAAGAAGCTGCGCTTCCTAAGCGCAACAGGCGTGTGTGTACATATACATATATATATATATACATATATATATGTTTATATGTATCGCTGGCGCCCTCCGAGCTGCGGTCCGCAGACTACAGTCGGACTTGAGTTGAAGGACACGCGAGAGGACTCAAGACCCTTTCGAGGGCCAATTTTCTATAGGAGTGCGAGAAGGCATGGGCCGCGAGGCACAGGACACAAGGGCACCCTCAATCTGGCAGGGTCGACCTGCTAATCAAGCCAACTGTAGCGCGCGTGCTCTGCAGTGCGTTGTGCTGCCAAGCAGCCAAGGCAGGCCCGAAAAACAAAACAAAACAAAACAAACGGCACACCGAAAACTAGCTCCGGGGCGTCCCGCCACCGCGAGCCGCCGCCCTGCGAGGGGAGCTGGGTCGTCCTCCCTGCGGTGTCGCACCGCGCGAGACGTGCAGAAGGCCGCAGCCGTCCGAGACCTCCAGGGACTCCATGCCCCTTCCGTCGAAATACCCTCTCCCCCCCTGTGGCATCACCAGACGTGGCCCAATTTGGCCCCGACAGTGCCCCAAGAGGCCATCGAGAGGCCCCATCCTCATCCTCCCATCTTTCTTCTCCTCGTCATCCTCTTCCCCATCCTCCTAGTGTCGCTTGCCACGAGCAGACCATGCAGCACCAGTAACATAATATGGGCCCGCAGAATGAGCAAAACGATTCAATAATCCCCCCACTGTCGCACCACCAGACGTGCCCGTGGGGCGGGCGGGGCGCTTGCCAACTTGGCATCAGCAAGAGAATTTGCGGGGCGGGCGCCGGGCGAGCGGGCGGGCGGAGCGAGTTCACTGGCTGGGCGGGCGGGCCGGGCGTTTCGCGGGGCAGGTCGGGTCGCGGGGCGAGTCGGGTCGCGGGGCGAGTCGGGTCGCGGGGCGAGTTCAGGACCCCCCAAACCCAGACAGGGCACAGGTGGAAGGGGCTACGACAACCCCCCACCGCCCCGCCCCCCCCCCCCCGGATCCGGCGGGCAGCCGGCAGCGACGGCCGGCAACGAGACCGCCGACCAAGATGACGCAAAACACGGCGACGGCCACAACAAAAACGACGACGACCACAACGACTCGAATCACGATTGCGACGACGACGACGACGACGACGACGACGAACGACATCGGCGACGACCATCTTAGGAACATGTGACGTCACAAGATGTGTTGCCCTTCATTTGCTTCTCCCCCTCCCTTCCACCCGCCCTTCTCCAAGCCAATTTTGTTGCTTTTTCATTCCAGGCAACTTTGGACATGCTCTTTTGAGGCCGCGGATCGGCGTCGAATGCATCCACGGCCTCCCCACATCAACCCCAGGCGGCCCTGAGAGGGCACGAGTCGCCGTCTTCGGCGAGCTCGAGCTTCGAGGATCAAAGATCGCGAGGCTTACCATTCAGGATCCTGCAAGGGCCTCCGGGGGTTCCCGAAGACCTCCAGAGACCTCTGGGAAGCGACCACCCCCAACACCCCTCCGCGGCGCCCCCGGACGCCAACGACGACGGAAGGCGACGACGACGGGCAGAGACCTCTGGGAAGCGACCACATCCCCCCCAAACATGCCTCCACGGCGCCTCGAGGAGGATGAGCGCGGCGTCGGACAGAGACCCCCCCCAAAACACCCCTCCACGGCGCCTCCAGACGCCAACGACGACGGAAGGCGACGACGACGACGACGACGACAACGACGACGGATGACGACGGCAGGCGACGGATGACGACGGCAGACGACGGATGACAACGACGACGACGACGGAAGACGACGCCAACGGAAGCCGACGACGACGACGACGAAGCCAACGACGACGAAGGAAGGCGACGACGGAAGCCGACGCCGACGCCGACGCCGACGCCGACGACGACGACGACGACGACGACGACGACGACGACGGAAGACGACGATGACGACGACGCCTCCGAGGCGCCTCCAAGGAAGCACGGCGTCGGGCGCGGCCGGCGCGGCACGCCGACGCCGCCAGGGGCGGCCGACGCGCCCTGGCCGACGCAGACGACAACGACGACGACGCCGACGCCGCCGCCGACGCAAACGCCGACGCCGACGCCGACGCCGACGCCGACGCCGCCGCCGCCGACGCCGACGCCGACGCCGCCGACGACGCCGCCGACGCCGACGCCGACGCCGACGCCGACGACGACGTGCCCCACGACGACGACGAGGACAGACATTACGAGGAGAACCACGTTTCGTCGAAGGCCTGGACGCCCGAGCGGGGGCGGCGGGTGGGCGCGGCAGCGCAGGCGGGTAGCGCAGCCGCGACCGACTTCAAAGCAATCTGGGGATCAAAACGCGGCGGCGAGCAAATGGGGAAAGTGTAGAAAAGAAGAACACGCACCACGACCACCACCTGGAGGACAGAGACAAAGGGTGATCAGGGGTGATGGTGGTGTGTGTGTGTGTGTCGTTTCGGGCGCTCTCGCGGGACATCCGTGGACACCCGCATCCCGCACAACAGCTCCTCATCCTGAATCCCCCATGGTGGTGCGCTTCCTGCTCTCAAAAGTAAGAAGGAGTAGGCCTTCTCAGAAGGCGGCGGGGCTCCTCAGAAGCCCCTATGGCCTTCTGAGGAGTGTTCTGTGCCTTCGGGGAGGGCTCAGAAGACTTCTCAGAAGGCTGGAGGACTTCCGAGCCGTCTGAGAAGGCCCGCCCCCTCTCACTTCCCCCACGGGCGCGCCAACGACAAAAAGCATGGGTGCCGCGTGAGCGACGAACACAGAACAGGGTCTTACGCGAGATGGCATAGCGATCTTCCGCGGTGGCTTGCGCGGGCCGCCAGCGGCGCGGCACGCCATCTTGTAGACGAAAGCGCTCACGCGCAACTTTACGGGGTCAGCTTACGCGCCAATGTCGGCGAAACCCACCCCGTGTTGTTGCGACGCTCACTTGATGATCAAAAATCACGGGTGCCGCGTGGAAGAAAGCACTGGCGGACTCCGAATTGAGGAAACAAAGAGCTCGCGAGCTACAGGAGCATCGATTAACCGATCCCCATGCAAACTGCCGTGACCTTGGTTGGCCCCACCAGACCCATGAACCTAACTAGGTTAGGTGGCAAACAAACCTACCTCGATAGGTTAGGTTAGGTGGCAAACAAACCTGATAGGTGGGAATACATTATCCTGGGTCGAGGGTTCACATCCCCCCCCCGAAAACAGAATGGACTCCAGGGTTCCACAGCCAACCCCCTCCCCGATGGGGTGGGGGGGACGACGACGACGACGACAGCAACGACGACGCAGACGCCGACGCCGACGACGACGACGGCGACGACGCCGGCGACGACGTCGAACGCGACGCCGACGCCGCCGACCTGGCCGACGACGACGACGACGACGCAGACGCCGACGCCGAAAGAACAACCTCACACCCACAACCCACAAGGGCAACCTTGGATCAGATATGATTCAGGGATGCCCTCCCCCCCTCGGAAGCATGTGGGATCGAGCCCCCCTCCCCCGCTGGATTGGGGACGCCCGTGAGCCTCGCGGAGGCCTCGAGAGGGCCTCGCGAAGGCTTCGCGAGTAGGATCAGCCCCACCCCCCGGGGTCGTGGGCTTGTGCGCGTGGCGTGGTTGAAGATGCCGGTGCTCCACCCTCCTGTGGTTGTGGGGTGGTTCGTCGTCGTCGTCGTCGGTCGTCGGTCGTCGGTCGTCGGTCGTCGTCGTCGTAGGCGACGTCGTCGGCGACGTCGTCGTGGTCGTCGTCGTGGTCGTCGTCGTCGTGGTCGACATCGTGGTCGTCGTCGTCGTCGGCGGCGGCATCTGCGTCGGCGTCGGCGTCGGCGACAGCGTCGTTGTCGCCGTCGCCGTCGCCGTCGTCGTCGTCGTCGTCGCCCCCCCCTCATCCCATCTGGGGGGGGGGGGGGGGCTGTGGAACTCTGGGTCCCTTCCCATCTGGGGGATGCTGTGATCCCGCGACCTGCGATCATCTATGCCTAAGTTATTCCGCCGGGTCTCGCGGGGCAGACCCCCACCTGCGAGGGTGGGCTTGTGGGGCTCTAATAGAGGAAAAAGAACTATGCACATGCACCGATTCTGGCCAGGCCCATCCTGAGCCCAGGATCGGTGCATACGCCCTCCTACCTTGGCCAGGAAGGCATATGCACCGATCCTGGGTCAAGGATGGGCCTTGCCAGGGTCGGTGCATGTGCATAGTTCTCTTCGCCCGATCTAATACCATGGCCCACTGGGTATGGGGACAGGTTAGACGATGCTGGACGAAGAAAGGAGGCCCTCTCTTTCAGAGCGCCTTGGGTGGTGAAGGCAGGGTCTCCAGCGAGAAGGTCCGGCCACCCGGGACAAGCAGGGACGGCGGCACCTCCGAGAGCAGCTCCTCCCCGAGGAAGATGGTGTCAAAGGACTTCTGCTGCTGCGCGAGGTTGCGCAGCGTCGATCTGGGGCTCCCGAGGATCAGGCTCTCCTTGAGGTGCTGGTTCTCCCGCGCCGCCTGCATCATCTCCATGGGGTCCTGTTTGGGGCACGACGAACAGAAAGGTGGCCTTGAAGCTGGTTCCGTGGACCCTGGAGCTCTCCCCACGACACACAGATTGGTCATCCCGGGCCGTTTCAGACGGTCTCGGACCCCTGGGGGGGGCGACCATAACCGGCCTCGAACTCATCCCTATCCCTAAGATCGGCAAGCCAAGGGCGATGGCAATATCATGCCCTCAGAAATGAGGGAACCCGTAAGATCGGCACCCGGGCAGGACCATGCCAAACATAGGGATAAGGGATCTGCTTCAGCCTGGTAACCCGGGAGGCCCAACAACAATGGCGACAGACCTGAGAGCACACCTGCCCTCAGGACCCGTTTCCTTCGTGGGGCGAGATTCGGCAGCGCGCGAAGGGGGTTCGGGGGGGTGGTGGGGGAGCGAGGAACGGGAGGCCTGCCGAGAAAAACAGGGGGCAGAAGGGCTCGGAACCCTTCCACGCAGCACTCTTCGAGCTCCGAGCACTTCGAAGTAGCACCTGGCCTTCTTCGAAGACCGCCCACCCCCCCTCCATACCATTTCCTCCTCCTCCTCCTCCTCCTCCTCCTCCTCCTCCTCCTCGCGCCAGGACGGGCTCTTCATCCCGAGCCGCTGTCGGCTGACACTTTTCGTTCGGCGGCTCGAAGGTGAAGGGGAATTGGGACACACAAGTAAATATACACAAATAAAAATATTCCCCATATTTTCCCATATTTTCTGGGTTTCTGTCTTCCCCCCCACTTCCCATATTTTCCCATATTTTCTGGGAATCGCCGATTAATTGTGTCTGTGTGTTTTTTCCCCTCCTGAGAAGGACAGATCCAGCGAGCGGGAATATATCGTCTGGGGCACAGAGCGAGGTAATTGGCTGCAGCGGCGCGTAGGCCGCTGTAGCGAGTGCGCATGCCAGGGACAGAATGACCCTCATTGTGGACCGAAGCAGGCGGCCCGGCAGGTGAGGACGCAAGCACGGTACCAGCGGTGGACGGAGAAGAGCCGTCGCCCTAACGGCGCCAAGCTCCCGCTGTTGGCTGACACGGGGAGGGGCCGAAAATCCTCCAGAGTCCTTGTCACGTGGAGGCATGGCAGAAAACCAAAGGCTGTCTGAGGAGGGGGGGGGGCCCCGGGAAGTCCTGGGGAAGTCCTGGGGAAGTCCCAGGGAAGTCGCGGGTCAGATACGACTCACCCTCGGGCGGTTCCGAGGCCCAGAAAAGCCCCAAGACGCCCTTCCTCCTCCTCCTCCTCCTCCTCCTCCTCCTCCTCCTCCTCCTCCTCCTCCTTCTCGTCATAAGCTTCCTCATCGACCCGCATCCTGATCATCATCTTCATCACGGCTCTCCCAACCTTGGAGGCACAAAGTGTCACACGTGCCGGTCTCCCGGGCCCACACGAACAACCACCACCCAGAATCCTGGGCTCGCGCGGTGGCGGACTTGCCGCAAGCAACTGGATCTAGAAAAGCCTGCCGTCCCGACTTGTTTGCGACCAAATCTGCAGGCAAGGCGAGATCCTGAGGGCTAGAGATCCGTCATGAGGGAAAGGGGTGCTGAGGAGGAGGAGGAGGAGAAGGAGGAGGAGGAGGAAGAAGAGGAGGAAGAGGAGGAGGAGGCCCTCACTTTGATGCGCGCGAACGGCGCTGGAGGAAAACGGATCCTGGACCCCGTGGCCTTCCCTGGGACCGGCTGCTCGCCCAGAGCCGCCTCTGCCAATCCCAGGTCGGGGAAGGAAGCCCCGAGCTGGCCATCGCTCGGACGTCCATTCCGTGTTTTTTTCGCCAAATGATCAAGGATGCTCCTCGATGGACCTCGCCGAAGGAAAAGTGCACACGTCCGAGCGGTGCCAAGCGAGAGACCGAGAGCGGCCACAGGGCCAGAAGCATCAGGGATATGGGGGCCTTTCCTGCAGGTGTACCAGGCCAAACCGCCCCTCCTCCCTCTTCCCTCCTCCTCCTCCTCCTCCTCCTCCTCCTCCTCCTTCTCCTCCTCCTCCTCCTCCTCCTCCTCCTCCCTCCCGAATGCGAAGACGGGGACCTCAGCGAGGCCACGTCTTCATCGTGTTATCAGGGGCCCTGTGTTTCTCAACGAATATGGGTCCCCTGGAAAGCACGCCCCTGTTCGCGGGGCCGGCTTTACATCCTCCGGCGGCTACAGAACCCGGCGATCGCCCCCCGAGGCCGAGAACGCCGCAGAGCCTCCGTCCTGCGGACAAGATTTACATCCATATCCAGTGCGCCTTCGATTTTTTTGGAAGGGGCGCCACAAGGCCGAGGTGCACTGAACATGGATAAACATCGAGCCTCTAGGGGGTAAATTTATCCATACCCAGTGCACCTCGGGTTTCTGGGAAGGGAGTCTGGAACTCCACACTGCAGTGGATGTGGCGTCCCGCTCTCCTCTGTCGGGTCGGGCGAAAGGGGGGGTTTGGGAAAGGGGGGGTTACGAAATCTGCTACATGTAGCTGGTTTCGGCCCCACCGAGGGGCCCGTTCCTCGATACATGGCCGCCTCCGGCGCCGGGAGGCGCCGGGAAAATCAGCTGCGCGAGCTGATTCTCAGACCCCCCCTTTGCTATCCCCCCCTTTCGCCCGGCCCGACTCTGCTCGAGGCGTGGGAGGCCCAGGCCGAGGCCCCCTCTGCCCAGCCACCCGACGACGAGATGTCCGCACTGGTCGGCCCTCGAGGTCCCGAGGCCTCTCCCGGGGGGGGGGGGGGGGGGGGCAGCGCTCGCCCGAGGTGTGCTCTTTGAGGGCTCCTGGGGCACGAGGACGGGCCCCCGAGGCCGAGATCGATGCAAAAACGCAGGGTTGAAGGCTCCTCCTCCTCCTCCTCCTCCTCCTCTTCCTCCTCCTCCTCCTCTCCTCCTCCTCTTCCTCCTCCTCCTCGTCCTCTTCCTCCTCCTCGTCCTCCTCCTCCTCGTCCTCTTCCTCCTCCTCCTCCTCCTCCTCCTCCTCCTCCTCCTCCTTCCTCCTCCTCCTCATCGTTGAACAGGCAAATCGTCGGAGATCTGAGTTTCGTCCTGCCGATCACGGGCGAGATCATGCCTGATCTGCGGGACCTTCGGATCGGACGAAAGCGGGGGATTGTACGATTCAGGCTGCAGCGCTGCTGATTTGGGCGACGGAGGAGGACATCTAAGAGAGGGATTGGCGGACAGACGAGATGAGATCGCATGCCCACCGATCAGACATCCGGGCAACTCCACGCAAGAGCCAGCATCACAAAGCTGGGTGTAAACTCGACGTCGCGTGTCTGGTCAAAGGTAGCCACAGCGGGAGGGGCAGGAGAAGGAAGAGGACGAGAGGATTAGCGAATCAGCTCAAACAGCTGGATTCCCCGGCGCCCCTCGGCGCCAGGACACGCCCCATACCTCAAGGATGCATCGAAGGCTCTCTTTCCCTATCCTCCTCCTCCTCCTCCTCCTCCTCCTCCTCCTCCTCCTCCTCCCCTCCTCCTCCTCTTCCACCTCCTCCTCCTCCTCCTCGTCCCCCGCCTGCCCCGTCTCCTCTGTGTGAGGACCGTTTGGGGAGACTGGCTCAGGGAAGAAACATCGACCTGGAATCCGCGATCCGTCGCCGATGCATCGGCAGTAGGCCCAGAGAGCACTCTGGTTGGGTGTCAATGCACCCCCACCTGAGCCTATGTTGCCCCTTGACATTCGGTTCATAACTCGGTCCTCCGGCGGCCATTCGGCAGGATCCTGGCACCCCTGGAACGCTCTCGGCGAGGCGAAGCCGCCGGAGAGAACCCCGAGGCCGGAACACCGCGGAGAACCGAAGCAACAGCTCAAAAAAAACATCGAACCTCGAAGCCTCCTGAGCCGACCCTCCCAAACGTTGCCCCTGAGTTTCGTCGTCCTCCTCCTCCTCCCCTCCTCCCCTCCTCATCCTCCTCATCCTCCTCCCTCATGCCGAACACAGCGAGATCCTGCACGAGCCGCGTGACCGTGGGCGCGCAGCCGTCCATGCCCACCAGCGCGCGGGCTACCTCCGCGCTAGCGCACAGCACCCGCGGGCAAGCGCCTCGCTCCCGGACCTGCGCCCGCAGGAAGGACGCGCGCGTGTCCCGCGCGATCTCCTGCACCGGCGGCCGGGCCGAGGGGGCCCATGGCTTCTTGCACGTCGTCGCCGTCGTCGGCGTCGGCGTCTGAGTCGTCGTCGTCGTCGTCAGCGCTGTCGTCGTCGTCGGCGCCACCACCGTCGGCGTCGCCGGCGTCGGCTTCGTGGTCGTCGCTGTCGTCGTCGTCGTCGTCGCCGTCGTCGGCGTCGCCGGCGTCGGCTTCGTGGTCGTCGCTGTCGTCGTTGTCGTCGTTGTCGGCGTCGTCGTCATCGTCCTCGGCGTCGCCGGCGTCGTCGTAGGCGTCGGCGTCGTCCGTCGACGTCGTCGTCGTCGTCGTCGGCGTCGTCGCCGTCGTTCAAGGCAGCGACGGCGTCGGCGGCGGCGGCGTCGTCAGCGGGCTTTTTTCCCATCAACCCTCGAGATCCAGGCGCTGCAACTTTTTCACAACGGGCATTCTTGCAGAACTTCGGGCCTCAGGCCCAAGAGAAATAACGCGAAAAAGTTGGGTCTACGGTGTGGTGATTCTTTGCGGTGTTGCAATTGTTCTGCAACGTCAGATCTTAAGGAAGGCCTGATGATGAAAATTGTCAACTTTCCGACCGATGGGAAGGGAACTCCACCATGCTCGAACAGTCCGACAAGAGGACAGGGAGGAGAGGAAGAGAGATAATTAGGGAGGACCGAGAAGCGAGATGCCTACTGCGGCCGACTAGCGGCTGGCACGACACGAGCCGACGAGAGTGGGCTTGTTCTGAAGAGAGCACTCGTGGTTGTTCCTCCTCCCTCCTCCTCCTCCTCCTCCTCCTCCTCCTCCTCCTCCTCCTGTTCCTCCTCCTCCTCCTCCTCCTTCTACTTCTCCTCCTCCTTCCGCCGCAAGAAATAGCCACGGAGTGTTCAGACGGCCCCACGCGAACGCTCCGAGGATCGGCTTGTGCCAGGCATGCTCGATACTTCCCTGGTCCTCTGGAGGCCCCAGGCGGCCTTGGCAAAGGAGGACGTTGGCCCCACCCACCCCATCGGCGTGCGGTGAACTGCACTTGGACGTAGACGGGCATACTAGCACTACACTCTAGGCGATGCTTAAGCAAACCCAAGTTTTCGGCCAGAGTCTCGATTATTCTTAATGTTTGAATGTAACTCCTAAGATTTGAATAGACATTCTGGGTTTTTATTCAAATTCCGAGACTATGAATTTCTGAACCCATGATTTCTAAAGCATTTCGCAGGGTGTATGCGCCCCACTAGGGAGGCGCACGTCCGAGCCGGACACAGATCCCGGACGGCATCAACTGCAACGTGACTTCTGCGGCAGACTACGGACATCGTCTACGGTAGGTTTGTGCAGCGTTGGCACGCGCAAAGGTTTTTGACACCGAATCGATCGTTAAACCTTGAATCGATCGCGATTCCGATCGTTCAAGATTGAATCCCGTCGGGTCTGGTGGCGCTGCCGTGTCCATCGGGACTGCCACGTCGTGGACTTGAACCTTGAGTGCACTCGTCGGCGTCGCCGGCGCGCCAACGCCGCACGAACCTACCGTATGTGATACATCGTTACTGGTGCGGTATGGCCACGCAGCGCCCGCCGCCGAGCGTGTACCATGAGCTCTCTCGGCGCGCGCGTCGCCCCCCGGGGTGCACATGCACACATCCCAAAAGGGCGTGAGCACGCTTGGGGGATGCCGATGAGTGCAGGCAAGACGACGGGGAGTGCTGCGCGAATTGCTCTCGGCCTCTGGGGGCCCTGGGCGCCAGGCCCGGGGACCCGCAGGAAACGACTCGGCAAGCAGCGCTGGCCCGGGGGAACGTCCGGGCCTGCGAGCAGCCACGCCGTGAGCCGGCGTCTGCCCCAGACCTCGGCCCACGGGGGCCGGCTGTCGGGCCCCTAGGGGCCGTCAGACATTCTGTGCGTCGCCGCGCGGCAGAGGCAGTCCGCACCGAGCGCTCGGGCGGCCCGGGCCACGGAGAGCGCAGATGGAACAAAAACAAAAAAGACATCGTCGAATGTCCAGACGGTGCAGGAGGGCGCTAGCTATTCGAGGGGCGGGGGGGGGCCAGGGCAAAACCCAAACCTCGATGCGAAAAAAAAAGCCGGCCACCGAGGACCCTAAACAGTGACATATTGCACCCTGGAGGTGACATATCTGCGAAGTGAGCGGTGTGGTCTGAGCTATGTTGTGCACGTTATGTGGATAAATGGTGCTAGCCAGGGTGTGTATCAGGTGTGAGCCGTATGGTGTTAGCTCTGTTGTGTAGGCTGTGCGGTGTGTGCTGGATTGTACAGGGCCATGCGGTGTGACTTGTGTGATGTGAGCTGTGGTGCGTAAGCTATGCTGAGGGATGAAAACAACGACCCTACCCTGGGTTACAAGTGCGTGGTCTGTAAACCTCCTGGGAACCCCCAAAGCCTAGAGCCGCCAGGACGCGGCACATCGCGCAGGGTCTACCCTGTCTCCGCCCACAGGAGTTGCAGCGCACCGCGCCCCGTGAACCGGGGTAGGGGCGTTTTTTATCCCCTTGATATGCGGTGTGAGCCATGCGATCCTATCCGTTTGGGCGCCCGAGTTATCCGGGGTAACTCGGGTCCGGGGTAACTCGGGTGTGGACTCCCGAACAACGAACCCGAGCTATCCCTGACCCGAGTCACCCCTAATGACTCGGGGCTCCGATCCGTGTTGTGCGAGCTTCGGGTCGGGCGAAAGGGGGGGATAGCAAAGGGGGGGTTTGAGAATCAGCTCACGTGGCTGATCTTCCCGGCGCCTCCCGGCGCCGGGAGGCGCCCATGCATCGCATCGGGACTGGGCCCCTCGCGGGGCCGCAACCAGCTGCATGCAGCAGATTTCGTACCCCCCCCTTTCCCAATCCCCCCCCTTTCGCCCGGCCCGAGAGCTGTGCACGAGCGGCCACGAGGCGCCCACGGGCGGGCACCAGGCGAGGCCCCGCCGCCCCCCTGCGGGGCGCACGCGAGGCGCCTACACCCTGCGAAATGCTTAAGAAATCATGGGTTAAGAAATTCATAGTCTCAGAACTTGAATAAAAACCCAAAATTTCCATTAAAATCTGAGGAGTCACATTGAAACATTAAGAGTAATCGAGACTCTGGCCGAAATTTTAAGTTTTCTTAAGCATCGCCTAAGGTGTACGCCGGCGGGCACCGCGCGGAGCCTCGTGCCGCCGGAGCGGGCCACCCGCGGAGCGCTGCAGGGGCGGCCGGGGGCGGGCCCCGTCGGCGAAGGGCTCGGCCCCCCCCGCTGGCCCTCGCTCGGGCGTCCATGCCCTGTGTTTTTTTTGTTCGGTCTCGTGCGCGGCTTTTTCGCCGAAGGAGCAAAGGAGGCTCCTCGATCGTCCTCGACGAAGAAGAAAAAATGCTTTCGCCGAGTGATCAAGGATGTTCCTCGATCGTCCTCGACGGAAGGAAAAAAAATGCTTTCGCCGAGTGATCAAGGATGCTCCTCGAGGGTCCTCTCGGCGAAGGAAACATGCCCACGTCCGAGCGATGATGCTAGGCCCCGGCGCGGGGCTTCCAGGAGGCGGCCACGGGCACGGCACCGAGCGACATGCCCACACACGCAGCACCCCGCAGATGCGGGGGTGAGAGTGGGGGAGGGGGCGGTGTGGTGCGTCGGCAGCCTGCGAGACTCTGGTGAAGGGGCCCCAGGACACACAAATAAATACACACAAATAAACAGATCCCCCATATGTTCCAATATTTTTTGAATTTGTGTCTTCCCCCCCACTTCCATATTTTCCCATATTTTCCTGGGAATCGACGATTAATTGTGTCTGTGTGTTTTTGTCCCCTCCTGATCTGGAGAGGCCCGCCGCAGGCGCCAAAGTTTCACAATCTGTGTAACGAGCCCGCCGCAGGCGCCGATTTTTTCTTCAAGCCAATAAATGGATCGGTCGCGGGTGGGTCGCGGGTGGGTTGCGGGTGGGTCGCAAGTGGGTCACGGGACCGGTCGCGGGGTGGGTCGCGGGGTGGGTCGCGGGGTGGGTCGCGGGGGGAGACGACAAACAACAACAACAACAACAACAACAACAACAACAACAACAACAACAACAACAACAACAAACAAAACAACAAAAACAACAACAACGATAACGACAACAACACCAACAACAACAACAACAACAACAACAACAACAACAACAACACCAACACCAACAACAACAACAATAACAATTCGCCGGCCCAGCGGGCCAGGGCGTGCTAAGATCTCCGGTAACTGGTTAACAGTATTAACAGTATTTCTAGTTCGCGCGCGCGGGGCGGCCCCTGGGGGTCCCCCGGCGAAAAGTACCCCGACCAACGCCCGACCGCCGCCCGACCGCCGCCCGACCAAGTCTACTCAGAGATGGTTTTCCTTCTGGGTGCGGCCTCTCAGGCTCCCCAGAGCGCGCTCAGAGTGCCCCAAGAGGCCCCCAAGACTGCCCAAGAGGCCCCCGAGACGCCCAAAGAGCGCTCGAAGACGCCGAAGATGACCCCAAGACGGCCCAAAAGGCCCCCAAGACAGCCCAAGAGGCCTCCAAGACGCCCCAAGAGCCTTCCAAGAGGCCTCCGAAGAGAGCCCCAAGAGGCCAAAATCGTTGATTTTCATTGGTTTTTTCGATGTTTTTTGTGTTCTGGCTTTTTCGGCTTCCGGACGCTCCAAGACGGCCCAAGAGGCCCCCAAGACCGCTCCAAGACGGCCCACGAAGCTCCCAAGACGGCGCCGAAACGACCCAAGAGAGCCCTCAAGACGGCCCAAGTGCCGCCCAAGACGGACCAAGAGGCCCCAAGACGGGCCCAAGAGGGACTCAGGAGGGATACCGAGAACTCAAAAATGGAGCCCTCCGTCCCAGAAGGCGCCCAGGAGGTCCCAAAGAGGCCCCAAGAGGCCTCCAAGAGGCCCCAAGATGTCGCCAAGAGGCCCCAGGAGACTCCCAGGAGGCCCAAAAGAAGCCCCAGAAGGCTTCAAACATGTCTCCCAGGCGCCCCCGAACGGCCTCTCAACAGACCCCAAGAGGCCCCCCAAAGAAGCATCTTGACGACGACTCTATTTCGCCCCATCGAGAGACGACCCCCAGGGAACTGCTTCACCATCAAAACTCCCCACGCAACGCGTCCGAACGACACCCGCCCCCAAGAGCGCAACATGGGCAACGAACACACAGACAAAAACCAGCGATGCCATATCACGGGCCGGCGGAATGAGCGAAGCGATTCAATAACAACAGCAACAGCAACAGCAACAACAACAGCAACAACAACAACAAGCAGACTCATCACCACGAATTCTCACTTCAACCGCGCACCCAGGGACAATCAATGGCCGTTCGGCCCCCTCACTCTGACCACCCACTCCAATTGAAAACATGAGCTATGCTGTGTGAGCTATGCGGTGTAAGCTATGCTGCTATGCTGTGCGAGCTATGCGGTGCAAGCTATGCGGCGCGAGCTACGCGGTGTGAGCTACGCGGTGTGGGCTGTGCGGCGTGAGCCATGTTGCGTGCGCTGTGTAGTCTGGGCTGTGTGGCCGACCACGCGGTACCCACGGGCGTCAAGCCAGCCATCGGGCGGAATCGCCACGTACCCTCCCCTCGCTTCAGGAACACCAGCTGTGTTGTGAGAGCGAGGAGGAGGGGGAGGGGGAGGGGGAGGAGGAGGAGCAGCAGGAGCAGGAGGAGAAGGAGGAGGAGGAGGATGGAGGAGGTGTGTGGCGCGAACGTTGTGGTGGGAGCTCGGTGGTGCAGGCCAGGCTGTGCAAGCTGCGTGGTGTGAGCCGTGCGGGCGCCCGCGCGGCGCCCACGGACACACACCCCAAGCGCGGGGCGCCCACGAGGGGCCCACTTACCAGCCTGGAACATATCCCTATCCCTATGCTGGGCAGCTCCTTATCACGATGCCAATCTTAGGGATTCCCTTCTTTGTTTAGGGCGGATCCCTAAGATTGTCATCGCCTTTTGGCGTGTCAATCTTAGATCTAGGGATACGTTCGAGGCTGGTAGCCCACGGGCATCCACCAGCGGGGCACCAGCCGAACCCCCGACACGTCCATCAGGTCCCGCCTGCCCTCGGGGCATAACTAGGTGGTCCAGAGCGGTTTTTCTCTGCCAAGAGGGGCCCCTTCCTAGAAGAAGAAGAATAAGAAGAAGAAGAAGAAGAAGAACAAAAACTGCATAGACACAAACTGTTGGCTTTCCGCGCGGATTTCTTGGATCCGCGCTGGACCCCCCTCCCAGGCGCGCGGAGCGCGCCAGGGGCGGCGCCGGAGGCGCCGCCGGGGGGGTACAGCGCGGATCCAAGAAATCCGCGCGGAGCGCCAAAAATGTATGTTGGTGGCGTTGTTCCTTCCTCGACCTCCTCTGAGCTGCCCACTTCCCTGATCGAGGCAACTCTTCTGGGCATCGTCTCTGGACGGGCTGCTAGGGCTGCGCAACGCGCCATGGACTCCTGAAGAGGCCCCCGAGCCAAGCCCCCCGCCCTCCCCGGCCCCCCCGCTCGGCCCAGCGAGCAAGTCTTCCTGACTACCTACCAGACCACCCCTTGCAAAGACCCGACTTTCGGGTTGGGGGGGGGTACGGGTTCCACCTGTTTTTTTTTCAATGTTCCCCGACCCCCACCCCAAGTCGAACTGAAGGGCCTTCGGGTTGGTCGGGCCGGGCGAAAGGGGGGATAGCAAAGGGGGGGGTTGAGAATCAGCTCACGTAGCTGATTTCCCGGCGCCTCCCGGCGCCGGAGGCGGCTATGTATCGAGGACTGGGCCCCTCGGCGGGGCCGCAACCAGCTGCATGCAGCAAATTTCGTACCCCCCCCTTTCCCTATCCCCCCCTTTCGTCCGGCCCGAGGTGGGTTGGGGTGGTCTGGTGGGCGGTGATCTTCCGCCGCCGGCGCCTCGAAGTACGCGTAGTCGCGGCCCACCGTCGGCCCGGGCACGACGACCTTACCGATGTTGACGTCGAGGTGGTGGTAGTTCAGCCCCAAGGCCTCGGTCCGCGGCGCGCCCGGGGGGAAGTGCGAGGAGACAGGCCTTCTCGGGAGGCGGCGGGGCTTCTCTGACGACCTGCCAGACCACCCCAACCCAACCCAAAGACCCGAACATCGGGTTGGGGGTGTGTGGGATCCATCTGTGTGTTTGTCGATGTTCCCCGACCCGCCCCACTGGAAATGAAGGGCAGATTGAGGCTTTCGGGTTGGGTTGGGGTGGTTTGGTGGGTGGTTCCGGGATCTCCTGACCCGGGTCAATCCAGACCCGGGTCAGCAGGAAACCAAACAACTGAAATGCAGGGAAAAAAAACTGCAGCGCAGGTCTTCGCAAACCAGGGTCAGCCAATAATTATGCACGGCCGCCTCGCGGCCACGAGCGGCTCGCTAACCCGGGTCAGCCAGACGGGAGCTTCGCAGGATCCTGCAAGATCTGGCGCTCTGGCTGACCCCCGTTTGCATTGACCCCCGTCTCAAGGCTCCCGAGTGGTGATTCTCAGAGGCCCTCCGGCCTTCTGCGAAGCGCCCTCTTGGGGGAAGCCCAGAAAGCTTCTCAGAAGGCCAGAGGCCTTCCGAGCCTTCCGAGAAGGCCTCCTCCTCTCGCTTGCCCCCTGGGCTCGCCGCCGACCGTAATTACGTGTAGAGGTTGGGGTACGTAGGTGGAGGATTGCTGTTGCTGCTTACGGTAAGCACCGACGACCCACAGCCGCTTGTGGCGCAAAGCCCAGCAGATCTTGACGCAAGCTCGTGGCCTGCAATTGCCGTGAGCGCCGAAAGGTGGACAAAAAAGTCTTGCCGAGCCCTTTCCAGCCACATCCCTCGAGGTTCCCCCCTGGGCTCGCCGCCAACCTCGAAGAGCGCGGGGAACTTCGCGGTCAGCGGCTCGCCGGCCTCGATCGGGATGCCGCTCGGAGACCTCTCGGGCCCAGCGGCACGCACGAGGGGGGCAGGGGGAGAGGGGAAGGCTTCCTGGAAGGAGGCCTCCTCTTAGCAGGCGTGGGCCTCCCATCTATAGACAGGGCACGCGCCTTCTGAGAAGCAGGAGTGCCTTTAAGAAACCTTCTCCCCCCCACAGTCGGACCTAGGACAGAATGGCATCCTTCGGGAACATGAGACCCTCGGATGGCCCAAACTGAAGAACATTCGAGGGTGCTGTCCCCCTGGATGCACAAGAACATCCAACAGACACGACGAGGATTACGGTAGGTCCCCGCGGCGTCGGCGCGAAGGACGTTTTTTCACACCGCGTCGACCGTTCAACCTTGGACCGATCGCGGCCCCGATCGTTTGAAGTTGAATTCCGTCGTGTCCTGTGGCGTTACCGTTCCCCTTAGTGGTTCCGCGTCGTTCTATCATGTGGAGTTCAACCTTGAACGCCTTCGCTGGCGTCGCCGGCGCGCCATCGCCGAATAAACCCACCGTAGGGCACCGAACCGACCTCAATCTTACACCTCGGCCCGACTGTACCTCTAAGACGAAGCCAAGACAAAAGAGAACATAGGGCGAGGGAAGTCGGGAATCTCTGAGATCCAGTGGCTCTGGAGCATGTCTTGGGCGCCGCGGCCTTCCGGAAGCGTTCCGAAACGCTCTGAGAGCGTTCCAAAACCATGCGAAACGGACTTATCCTCGTCCTAACCCCATCCGGTCGGGGATCTTCTGACCCGGGTCAATCCAGACCCACGTCAGCAGGAAACCAAAAACTGAAATGCAGGGGAAAAAAAAACTGCAGCGCAGGTCTTCGCAAACCAGGGTCAGCCAATATGCACGGCCGCCTCGCGGCCACGAGCGGCTCGCTGACCCGGGTCAGCCAGGGGGGGTCTTCTGCAGGATCCGGTGCCCTGGCTGACCCCCGTTTGCATTGACCCCCGTCTCAAGGCTCCCGATCCGAGCCGTGCCACTCACGACTGGGGCCCCCTGGCGGCAAGCCCACGCTGCCACGAGGACGTCGGCGTCTGCCTCCGACACCGCGAGTGCGTTCCGCGTCGGCCGGCTCCGGGCCACCGACGGCGCTCGACCTCTTGAGCGCCCACGCCGAGGCAGCCTCGTGCTATAGCCCCGTCCGCACTGCACCCCCCTCTGCGCGTGGCGGGCACCCCCGTCCTTCGAGTCCGTTGGATGTTCGTGTGCATCCAGGAGGAGAAGGAGGAGGAGGAGGAGGAGGAGGAGGAGGAGGAGGAGGCGAGGCGGAGGAGGAGGAGGAGGAGGAGGAGGAGGAGGAGGAGGAGGAGGAGGAGGAGGAGGAGGGGAGGGCACCCTCGCGAGTTCTTCAGCTTGGGCCCTGGGAGGGTCTCGTGTTCCCGGGGGATGCTGTCCAGATTTCCTCGACGAAAAATAACAAATACCCCAAAAATACCCCAAGAAGGTCAAACGATACCCTAAAAATAGTCCCCAGCCTATCTTGGGAGTATGTTTTGACTATTTCGGGGGTATGTCTTACTTTTCGTCGAAAATCCCCTTGTAACGGGGACAGGCCCGACACAGTCCTGGGTCCGACCGCGCCGCCCCCTGCGCGCCGCCCAGCCTCTGGAGCACCGCTACTTGGCGGGGGTTGACGAACCAGCAACACACGCCCACACCCATACACCCTGCGAGATGCTTAAGAAATCATGGGTTAAGAAATTCATAGTCTCAGAACTTGAGTAAAAACCCAAAATTTCCACTCAAATCTCAGGATTTACATTGAAACATTAAGAATAATCAAGACTCTGGCCAAAAAAATAGGTTTTCTTACCCATCGCCTAAGGTGTAGGGGGATCGGAGAGGGCTATGGGTACGTATTGCCGGATGGGGGTCCCCGCTCGAACGGGAGCGCTCCCCAGGGTCCGACAACCCGCACCCAGACCCATAGCCAGTCCTCCTCCCCACGACCCCCCTATGGGTATGGTATGGGTGCGTGTTGTTCGTTCGTCAGGGGTAGCGGCTCGCTTGCCGCCACCCCGAGGGGGAAGCGAACGACCCCGACCCGGCGCCGGCTCCAGGTCTGAGGCGGCCCAGCGATGGCCCCGGCGAGCAGGAGCTGGTACTGTTTGGGTCATGTTTCTCCGTCGGTCGTTGCGAGTGGGTATCTCTGGACTCCTGGATCCCAGCCTACTTCAGGCGCCTCCCTACTTGAATCATCGAGTGTGTCGTTTCCTTTCCATCGTCATCATGTGCCCAGGAGCTGTTTCTGTCAGCCATGTTTTTGTCCGTCGGTTCGGAGGCTATTAAAGGTGCCCCTGGCCCAAGGTGCCCCCAGCCTCTCACTCAATTGTTTGACCCGCTGGGGCTCTCTGAACCTCGTGAGAGATGCTCTGGAGGCCGTGTGGGGGCCTTCATGGAAATCCTGGGGGCACCTTGGGCCAGGGGCACTTACATCAACACCCCATCGGTCGTCGAAAGTAGGTATTTCTGGGTTCTTAGATACCAACCTACTTAAGGCGTCTCCCTACTTCAATCATCGAGTGCTTTTTCCTTCTCCGTCCTCTTCAGGGGGCGGACGGGAGCCCAACCTACATCCAACCCCTTCCTGCTTCATGCTTCTTCCCACTTCTCCCGACCGGCGGGTAGCCAAAACCATATGCAATTGTTGTTGAAGTGCATAGTTCCCATGTCGCTAACATTTAAAACTGAATGTTCCAGGCTGGGGCGGGCATGTTCGAGGTTCTGGTTCGAGACTTTGTTTGGCCTTCTTCGATCCCTGGGGGCCGTTTTCGGCCCCCCGGGACCGCCAAGAGCGGGTGCGGGGTGAAAAGATGCACCGGATGGATCCCGGGAGGAGTCCAGGAACAGATTTGGAGCGGGTCTGCCCTTGTCCCGCCTTCTTTCTAGATTGTCCCGAGGTCCATCCAGCCGCCATCAAGCCCCGACCAAACCGGAAGAACGTTGGGAGTTCGGCGCGGGGACGTGTCCATAACCATCCCCTCTCGGCAGGTGGTGGATGTGGACAGGTTCGGCCCCATGGGTCCAGAATGTGATCGCACCCACCACCCCCTACGGTCCCAGGAGAGCGGGCCTCCAGGCGGTGGATATGGATAACACCCCGCCTCGCAGGAGCGCCAAGGGCCGGGCGTCGTGCCGACTGCAGGGCAACACGCCGCATGTGTCGGCACCTGTCGCCCTCCTGCTGTCTGCCGGGTGTCGGCCAGAATCACCAGCGCCGCCGCCGTGTGTGCTTCCATCTGGCGGGCGCCCCGCCACGATTCGCCCGAGCAGGGGGACCAATTGTTTGAAGCACACGCCCCGCTTGTTTTTGTTAACCACTAGCTGACATTACCCCCGCTGCACGTCGAGTTACCTACATCGTGGATCTGCGAAGGTTGGGGAAACCAAAAAGTACCGCTACCCCCGTACTCCCCCGACCTCACAAGGGGGAAACGCGAGAGTAGTAGCGGTATGGGTACCTTTCCCTCCTCTGAAGAATTGTATCCTCGATGTCTGACCGACCCCAAGAGGTCCCGACCTATTCCCTAGGCCCTAGGACCGGCTTTTCATCCCGAGTCGCTCTTCGACAGTCCCAAGGCCCGGTAAGGGCCCCAGGAGGCCGAAAACAGCGAAGAACCTCCCGTCGTCACTTCTTCCTTCTCCTCCTCCTTCTCCTCCTCCTCCTCCTCCTCCTCCTCCTCCTCCTCCTTCTCCTCCTCCTCCTCCTTCTCCTCCTCCTCCTCCTCCTCCTCGAGGAGGTCCGGGTGGGTACCTTCTCCTCCTCCGCGCGGGGCTCGGCGGTCCGCCGCCGGCCCTCAGACTCGGGCCGAGGCCCCAGCCGCGGGCGCATGGCACGGCGGGCGCCGCTGGGGTCGAGGCGGGCATGTCCCTCCAAAGGAGGAGTCTTCAAACATAGTAAGAGAACAGTGTGGGGGCGATTCTTCGACGACCTCTGACTGTTCTTGGATACTTGTCGACTGTGTTCTATGGCTCCTTCAGAATCCGCCTGTAGAAGGTCATGCCCGACCTAATGCCGGGGAGCCCGGCGTCGGCGCTCTGGACAGTCGCCAGCGACCTCCCCATGTGTGGCGCGTCGCGACCGCGGTCTTGGGGTCTCGGGTCGGCGGCGAGCCCGGGGGGGGAGTGAGAAGGCAAAGGCCCTCTCTTGGCGGCGCGCACCAGGGGGGTGGAGGGGAGGTCCCTGCACCGCTTGGTGGAGGAGGAGGAGGAGGAGGGAGGAGGAGGAGGAGGGGAGAGGAGGAGGAGGAGCAGGTCCCTCCTTCCCTCTTGGCGGCGCGCACAACACAAAGGGGTGGAGGGAGGGGGCAGGTCCCAGCACCGCTCTGGGGCCTCCGAGGAGGGCCGGGCGGGGGCCGCCTGCGCAGGACCCCCGCGCCGGGACCTGGACAGCGCGCCCCCGTGGAGCGCGCCCTTGATGCGCTGATGCGCAGCATCTCCAGCGGCCACGCCAGCTGGGGTAGGCTCCTCCTTCTCCTTCTCCTCCTCCTCCTCCTCCTCCTCCTCCTCCTCCTCCTCCTCCTCCTCCTCCTCCTCTTCTTCTTAATATTATTATTTGTCTCCTTCTTCGTCGTATCATTATACTTCTTCTTCTTATTATTATGATTAATATGAGTAGTATTAGTATTCATAATATTATTATTAGTAGTCTCATTCTTCGTAGTATTATTATTCTTGGTATTCTGTGTATTAGTCTTATTAGTCTTATCAGTCTTATTAGTAATATTATTAGTATGGGTATTATTATTTGTAGTAGTAGTAGTATTGGTAGTAGTCCTCTTCGTATTCCTCTTCTTAGTAGTATTATTATTCTCATTCGTCTTACTATTAGAAGTATTGTTCTTAGTATCATTATTATTCTTAGTATTCGTCTTCGTCTCCTTGTTAGTATCGTATTATTCTCATTCTTATGAATATTTTTTTATTATTACTAATATTCGTCTTCTTCTTCGTATTATTATCATTCGGTTTCGTCTTATTCGTCTTCGTATTTGTCTTCATATTATTATTATTATTCGTAGTATTATTATCAGTATTATTATTATTATCATTCTTAGTGTTATTAGTATTATTGTTATTATGAATGTTATTATTATCCGTATTATTAGTACTATTATTAGTATCATTATTCGTATTATTAATATTAATATTCGTATTCGTAATATGATTTTGATTATTAATATTATTATTATGACTATTATTATTATTATTATTAGTACCATTCGCATTCCTCTTCCTCCTACTCCTCCTCCTCCTCCTCCTCCTCCTCCTCCTCCTCCTCCTGCTCCTGCTCCTGCTCCTGCTCCTGCTCCTGCTCCTGCTCCTGCTCCTGCTCCTGTTCCTGCTCCTGCTCCTGCTCCTCCGCCTCCGCCTCCGCCTCCGCCTCCGCCTCCGCCTCCGCCTCCTCCTCCTCCTCCTCCTCCTCCTCCTCCTCCTCCTCCTCCGCCTCCTCCTCCCCCTCCCCTCCCCCTCCCCCTCCCCTCTCCCCCCCCGCTCCCCCTCCCCCTCCCCCTCCCCCTCCCCCGCCCCCTCCTCCTCCTCCTCCTCCCCTCCCCCTCCTCCTCCTCCTCCTCCTCCTCCTCCTCCCCCTCCCCCTCCTCCTCCCTCCTCCTCCTCCTCCTCCTCCTCCTCCTCCTCCTCCTCCTCCTCCTCCTCCTCCTCCTCCTCCTCCTCCTCCTCCTTTTCCTCCTCCTCCTCCTCCCCTCCTCCTCCTCCTCCTCCTCCTCCTCCTCCTCCTCCTCCCCACGGGCCGGGACCTGGACAGCGCGCCCCCGCGGAGCGCGCCCTTGATGCGCAGCATCTCCAGCGGCCACGCCAGCTGCGCGACGAGGACGGGCAGAGGGTCGGACCAGGCCCAGAAGCCCTGGCCACGAGCGGCGAACGGATCCGCATCTGCATCCTCGCGGCCTGGGCTCCGGGGCGCGATCCCGCGGGCACGCGGTCGCGCGGAGACGCCCCGCGCGGGGCATCCGCGCAGAAACTCCCCGTCTCCGCGGGGTCGCGGCCCGAGGGGCCGGCCCGCGAGGCCGCGGATACGGAGCTGCTTCTCGCCCACGACCTCGACGCGGTCGGCGACGAACGGCCAGCAGTTCTGGTGGAACCAGAACCCCACCTGTGGGCCCTGGCGGAGCCCGCTCGGCTCGGCGGCCCGGCAGACCAGAAGGCGAGGCACGGAGCACCTGCGGCGCCCCGGCGTGGCCTCTGGGACGCCGGGTGCTGAGCCGAGCGGCCTCCTGGGCCCGCGCCGCCTTCTGATACTGCGTGGCGGCGCGGACGTCGTCGCCAAAGAAACTCGCGCCCCAGCCCGGGGTCCCCGAAACGCCCTCCAGCACCGACGACGCGCGAGGGTTGCACTCGATCACGAAGAACTTACCCGTGGAGTCCTCGCGGAAGTAGTCGAAGGCGTACTGGCCTGAGGAGGAGGCATGTGGGGGAACTGGCGCAAGGGGAGGGAAACATCGAGACAAAAAATCGGCGTTACATCGCCGATAGATCGGCGAGAAGCCCCCCGGGAACGAATCCGCATGCTCCTGGGCGGGGTGGGAGAATCGGGCCCCTATCGGCGACACATTGGGGAATCGAGAGTCGACGCGTACCCCCGTAGCCTATCCCCGCCCCCAACGTTGGCCCCAGATGGCCAGTGAGCTTGTGCTTGGCGATGAGGCCAGCAATCGCCTTCTCGACGTCCTCGGGCACGGGGATGCCGTCGAAGAAGAGGAGATCGCTCTCCGAGCGGTAGCAGCCCTGGAAGGTGATCTTGCCGTCCACCGCCACGAACCACGCCGAGTACTCCGTCCCACGGATGAAGCGCTGCCACTGCCACGGGTCCGACGGCGTGGGCTGCACCGACTCGGGCACCTTCTCGCCCCTGCGGACGAGCTTGATCTCCTCCTCCCGGTTGATGCTCGACTCGATCCGCTTGACGATGACGTCCATCTCCCCGAACGGGATGGACCCGTTCTCCAGATCCTCCCTGCTGGTGGCGACGCCGCTCTCGGGCACCGGCACGCCACACTCGCGGCACATCTGGTCGAACTGCGGCTTGTTGTCCAGTCGGGTCATCATCTCGAGGCCCTCGCAGGCGAACTGAACGTTGGGCAACCGCGCCTGGAGCCAATCCTTCGCGATGCCGACGATAGAACAACGGAAAACAGCATGGACATACACTCTGGATGGACCACGCGGATTTCTTGGGGGGCTCGCGCCGCGCCTGGGGGGTCAGCGCCGCCCCCCAATGCAACAGCACCTCCGTGAAGCGATCCTGGGTGCATAGCCGAGGCCGGGAAGGTGCGAACTCTACACGGCAAAGACGCGCCCCCACGGGCTGCGGCATGCGGCCACCGCCGCCCCGAGAACTCCGCGCGGACCTCCGAGAGTCTGTGTGCTCACGCGTCTTCCGTCCTCCCAGATGAAAAGGGCCTCGTTGATGGTGGACATCGGAAGCACCAGGTCCACGTTCTCCCTCCGGATGATCCTCCGCGGGAGGGGAGCACATCCGCGCCCACGGTTATAGGTCGGGCCTGACCTCCCACAGGCGGATTTTGGACGAGACATAGGAAAGACTCAGAACTGCTCCAAAATAGCTTGCAAACCAAAAAAAAAATCGTCCCCTGACTATTTTTGACTATTTTTGGATACTCCCCCTGCAGATGGACACGCCCGACCTACGCATCCGCGCCCACGGCCTCGCGGCCTGGACTCTTCGGCCGCGCGGCCCCCTCCCAGTGGGACGCCCCGGGCGGCGCCGCTGCGCCGCTGCCCCGCGCGGAGCGTGCCTCCACGCGGGGGGGGCCGCCCCTGTCGGGGATGGACAGACCTCCCTTTAGTAAAACGTGGTTTAGTGAAAACGACTTTGGGCCCAAACCTGGCGGGCGCAAGCCTGGAAAATAACGGCCACGGCGCCCTCTCGAAAACCGAAAACGGACAATTCACTAATCGACGTGTCACTGATGGGGGTTCTGTCCACCCCCGACTCTGGCACCGCGCCTCGGGAGCCAGGCCGCGAGGGCACGGACGTGGACGCGCGGGGAGGGGGAAACCAACAGTCGGGGGACGCCGCGGGCCTCCCCGGAACGCTCCCCCCGGGCGCGCGCCGGCCAGGCTTTTGCTTGTTCGAGGCGCATCCGGCAGAAGCGACGAGGGCCTCCGCAGAGGCCCGGCAGGGGGGAACTCCAGGCGGGGGTAGTTGAAGGGGCCCTGGGACACGCAAATAAATACACACACAAAGAAAAGGACTCCCCATACTTTCCCATGTTTCTTCTGGGATTTCGTCTTCCCCTCCGCTTCCCATATCTGCCCATGTTTTCCTGGGAGTGGACGATTCACTGTGTCCGTGTGTTTTTCCCCCTCCTGAGCAGTGGCATCGGTGCGTGGGCAGGGCGGCGGGGCCAGAGCCCTCGGCTCGTCGGCCCCCCCCCTCCCTACCGTCGAGGAGGAGGAGGAGGAGGAGGAGGAGGAGGAGGAGGAGGCAGGAGGAGGAGGACAAGGAGGAGGAGGAGGAGGAGGAGGAGGAGTCCGCGGGTCCTCTCCAGGTGGTCCACCCACTGCCCCACCCTGCGGGGGTCCAGGGGGGCCAGGGTCGCCGCGCCGTCGCACGAGGTGGAGACCGCGCTGGCGCTCATCTCCTGTGAGGGGGCCCCAGGACACACAGATAAATACACACAAATAAAAAGATTCCCCATAGTTTCCTACATTTTCTGGGCTTTTGTCTTCCCCCCCACCTCCCATATTTTCCCATATTTTCGGAGGAATCGACGATTAAGTGTGTCTGTGTGCTTTTTCCCCTCCTGATCCTGGTAGTCCGTCACGATGACCCTGCAGCCGATCTCCTTGAGGGCCCTCACGCCGTGCAGCGTCTTGGCCTGGCGGCCCGTCGTCACCAGCACGGTCTTGCCCGCGTGGGGGCCCTTCTCCAGGGCCAGGGCTCGCACGCGCACACAGCCTTGGAAAAAGATGGCCCCGTGGGGCCGTGAAGGCGATGCTCCAGGGCGGGCCCAAAGGTACAGTCGGACCTGGGACAGCACAACATCCTGCAAGAACAGTAGCCCCTCCGCCGGCCAAAGCACCCCAAACCATCAGATCACTCGAGGGCACCCTCCCCCAGGGGTGCACAAGAACACACGACAGACGCGAGGAGCATGAGGCTTTCGGGCACCCTCCCCGAACCGACCTCGATCTCGTGCCTCGGTCCCGCCCGTATCCACAGCCGGCGCCTCCTCGGGCCCAGGGGGGCCGCCACCCGTGGCGGCGGACGCGTGCGAGGCCCCCACCTCGGACCTTCGCCGGATGCCGAAGCAGCGGCTCGACCAGCTTCAGCAGCCTGTGCAGGGCAACGCACACATACCACACGGCGTAGGCGGCGCCGCCGAGGAGGGGCCGCAGCACGGCCGCGGGAACGACGCGGAACATCGCGGGGGCCTGCTGGTGCACAGCGAGGGGGGCGCAGGCGGCCACAGGCTGCTGCGGCGGGGGCCAGGAAACGCTGCCAGGCCGAAACGGCTCCCAGGGCGTCGACGCTGGCGCGGCGGATGGGCGGTGGTGCGACGGTAGAGGAAAACAATAACTGCACACTCCCCCTCCCCCCAAAACTCAAAATTGGCACGCGCGGGGGATACTGCGGTCGAGGTGCAACTCATCACCCGCCGCCAACTTTGACCGTTGGGGGGAGGGGGAGGCGTTGACAGATGAATGTGGCATGATTGTTCGCTATTTTTTGTCCGAGGCCTGGATGGTGGCGGCGGCGCGCCCGGACTGGAGACGTCAGGGGGCCGGGTTGGCAGTGCACGCTCGGCGCGTACTTCGAAGCATGAGGCTCTGGCGTTGCGGGGGGAGGGGTGGATGACGCGACGGGGGAGGAGAGCGGGCCTTGACATGCACGAAGAAAGTAGCATCGTGTTCCTCCGACTGTATCTCCGACCCATACGGTGTCTGATGTGTTCTGCATTGCAGCTCGAATTGCTGGCCGTAAACTTACCCATCCCGGTGCATCATTATCGGAAGCACGTTCTCACTAACATTAGATCGTTGGTAGTGGTTGCGTGGTCCGCGCATTATTCGTGTCCTTTCTCATCAGGTTGTCATGTAGTAGTTGTATTCGCGCATGAGTTCTCGCTCTTGGTATTGGTGGGCACCGCTAATAACAACACTACCGAGAAACCCCTACGTGCTTCGTTGTTTAACTCTCGTGCGAGCATAGCTGACGTGCAACATATGTGGATGATGCTAGGTGGTCAAAAAAGTGCCACGCTTGCTGTGCCGTGGACGACCAGGGCGGATAGCGCCCAGCGCACCCCCTGTGGCGTCGAGGAAGTGCCACGCCTGCCATGCCTTGCGAGCCTGCAACGCGTAGCGCCCCCATCCCCAGCGCACCCCCTGTGCCGTGGAGGAAATGCCACACCTCCGCACCCCCTCTGGTGTCGAGAAAGTGCCTCGCCTGCGGTGCCTGGACGAGAGGCGCGCATAGCGGCCGCGGTGAGACCACCCCCTGCGCACCCCCTCTGTTGTCGAGAAAATGCCACGCCTGCGGTGCCTGGACGAGAGGCGCGCATAGCGGCCGCGGTGAGAGACCACCCCCTGCGAATCCCTTCTGGTGGCGAGGCGTCTGCTGCTGATGTGGGGTTCCTGCCACGCCCTGTGAATATTGCGCGTATGTGTTGCATGGTGTGCGTGTCAAGTGTATGACGCGTGTGCGGCTGTATCTGGACGTGTGTCTCATGTGGGTGCTCACTATGTGGCGCATACGTCGTGGGTGTATGATGCAGTGAACACGTCAGGCGCGCACTAGCGTTGTTCGTGTGTGTGTGTGTGTGTGATCGTGTGCGTGTGCGTGTGCGTATGCGTGTGTATGTGCTGTGTGTTGTGTGTTGCGTATTGTGTGTTGTGTTGCGTGTTGCGTGTTGTGTGTTGTGTGTTGCGTGTTGTGTGTTGTGTGCTGTGTGTCGTGTGTTGTGTGTTGTGTGTTGTGTGTTTGTGTTGTGTGTTGTGTGCTGTGTGTTGTGTGTGCGTGCGTGCGTGCGTGCGTGCGTGCGTGCGTGCGTGCGTGCGTGCGTGCGTGCGTATGTGTGTGTGTGTGTGTGTCTGTGTGTCTGTGTGTCTGTGTGTCTGTGTGTCTGTGTGTCTGTGTGTGTGTCTGTGTGTCTGTGTGTCTGTGTGTCTGTGTGTCTGTGTGTGTGTGCGAGTGTGTGCGAGTGTGTGCATGCGTGCGGTGGCATGTAGACGCGTGTCTAATGTACGTGCCGTGCATGCGTTGCGCGTGGGTGGGGGGAGAATGGAAGAGGAGGAAAGGGAGGATGGAGGAGAAAGGTGCGAGGAAGACGCGACGCGTGTGGGAAGAACACCATAACCCCACGACACATGTATGGAATTATACTGTGCATCAATATTAGTGGAATCCTACGATCGTTCTCAATGTCGGTAACCTTACGATTCCTATAAAAACTGGCTATGCCTGACAATACATTTACACTTGCTGTCCGTGTTACGCAGACACTCGCGATGTCAATACTAGACTTCGCACTTGAGCCGTCACCGAGCCGCCGGGCACGGAGCGTGCGTGTCCTCAGAGCCTTTGCTGCATCCCTGAAGCCTCAGGTCCTCACTCGCAGGGATGATCTAAGAGGCCCAGACCGCATATTCTGAACTCTCTCGTGGCTTCCCGCGTGCCCCCCTGGGCTCCCCCGGGTCTCCCCGCGTGACTTTTTCCGATCCAAGAAGCTTCAAGACGGGCCCATCCCCCCTCATCATCTCGCATCATCCTCGAGGCAAGCCAAATCGAGGAACGGAGGCTCCAACCAGCCAGGGCTCACCCCTCCTCATCGCCATCAGAATCCTGCCTGACCCCTCCGGCTGCTCCCCCCACCTCCTCCACATGTTCCTCCTCTGCCTCCTCCTCCTCGGCTCTTCTTCATCCTCCATCCTCCTCCACCTCCTCCTCCGCATCCCCCCCTCGCCATGGCTCAGACGTACATTCCCCGTGCATGTGTCGGTTTCTTTTTCCGCAAGATGATCCAGCATGCTCCTCGATGGTCCCCGCCGAGAAAGAATACACACGTCCGAACGATGCCGAACCCCCACTCTGGACGCCCGAAACGGGTACGGAAAAAATGGGTAAGATGCCCAGCAACAGATGTTGTCCAATACCGACAGTGGCCGCTGTTGGACAGGCGGCCCCCTGTCCCAAATGGACAACGACCGCGGCGACGCCGACAGCGAGTCCGGTTCAAAATAAGCCAGAAACGCTGCTGGCCTTCTTACCCATTCTTCACGTACCCATTTCGATCGTCCCAACCCATTTCCTAGAGACCTCCTAGATGGGGTCCGAGTAGATGGGGTCGGAGAATTGAACCGCATCGCCAATGTATCGACGATACATCGGTGGTACATCGTCGGTACATCGGTGATGCATCGGCGACGTCCGCGATGCATCGGCGCCATCGGCATGAAGAAACTCGGGCTCCGCATCGAGCCGCATCGCCGAGGCATCGGCGATGCGGACCAATTCTTCGACCCCATCTACTCCGACCTCATCTGGGAGGCCCCGACCGTCGCGACCTCGGTCTGAGGGCCTCGAAGGCCCCGGTCGCCCGAGACACCTTCGGAGAGCGACCCGCGTCCCAACGCCGCGCGGTGCCTCCGAGCCCCCACGGCCTCACGGCGTGGTCCCTGCACCGTGTGGGGGCCCCCGAGAGGGCCGGGTGAGGGCCGCCGGCGCGTCGCGTCGGCCACCGAACCCAGACCCCGAACTTCCTGCTGGCCTCGCGGGGCCGCCCGGAGCCGGCCCCAAAGCTTCCTGCTGGCTGCCCGCCGTGGCAGGGGTCGGCTCTGCCCCTCGCTGCGCCATAGCATCGGCACCACCCAAACATGCTCATGCTATGCTTGCCGCCTCTCTCCTCCTCCTCCTCCTCCTCCTCCTCCTCCTCCGCCTCCCTCCTCCCCTCCTCTCCTCCTCCTCCTCCTGCTCCTCCTCTCCTCCTCCTCCTGCTCCTGCTCCTCCTCCTCCTCCTCCTCCTCCCTCCTCCTCTCTCCTCCACTCTCCTCCTCTCTCCTCCTCCTCTCTCCTCCTCCTCCTCCTCCTCCTCTTCTTATTAGTATGTTTTCTTCTTCTATATATATATATACATATGTATTATTATTCTTATTCGTGTTATCATTAGTATCGTTAGTCTTAGTCGTATAAACATTATTATTAGTGTTCGTAGTCTGATTCGTATTATTATGGTTATCACTATTAGTAGTATTAAATATTATTAGTCTTATTGTTATGTTTATTAGTATTATTATTAGTATTATTATTGCATTATTTTAATTTATTAGTATTTTTATTATTATTGACTTCATTATTATTATCATTCGTATCATTGTTATTATTATTACTGTTATTTGTCATATTAGTATGCGCCTCCTTCTTCTTATTGTTATTATTATCATAAGCATCAGCTTCATCATCATCATCAGCATCATCATCACCAGCATCATCAGCATCATCATCATCATCAGCATCATCATCATCATGATCAGCATCAGCATCATCATCATCAGCATCATCATCAGCATCATCATCATCAGCATCAGCATCAGCATCAGCATCATCATCATCAGCATCATCGTCATCATCATCCTGCTCCTCCTCCTCCTCCTTCATATCCTACTCCTACTCCAACTCCTCCTCCTCCTCCTCCTCCTTCTTCTCATCCATCCTCCATCCTCCAACCTCCATCCTCCTCCTGCTCCTCCTCCTCCTCCTCCTCCTCCTCGTCCTCCTCCTCCTCCTCTTCCTCCTCCTCCTCCTCCTCCTCCTCCTCACCTCTTCTCCTCCTGGGCGCGCGAGGAGCGCGGGAGCCTGCGAGAGGTCGCGATCGCGCAGCGACATGTGCGACTGGCCCCGCCCGGGTTCGCTCCACGCGCGCCGCCGCCTTCGTCGTCGTGAAAGTCTCTGGCGGCATCTGGCTACTGGCACGTCCCTCCACCTCGATCCTCCTCCCTCCCCCATCTTCAGTCGTCGTGGAAGCAACACGACGGACGGCTTTGGGGGGTTCAAAGGATGGAGGAGGAGGAGGAAGAGGAGAAGCGGAGGAGAAGGAGGGGGAGGAGGTGGAGGAGGAGGAGGATGGAGGAGAAGGAGAGGGAGGATGGGGAGGATCCATACCTCTGGGAGTCCACGCGGTGAATCAAAAATGCGACATCGGAGTTCTGAGGTCCTCCCTCGCACTCCCCTCTCACCTGTCCTCTCCTCTCGCTCCTCCCCCTTCCCTCCTCTCTCCTCCCTCCCTCCTCACTCGCCACTCATCTCATGCCTCTCCTCCCCCCTCCCTCCTCCCTCACCCCTCCTTCCTCACCACACCTCCTCCCTCACCCGTCCTCCCTCCCCCTCTCCTCTGACGCCAACCTGAGGCTCTGACTCCGTGGCGCCCCCGTCCTCTCACACTCGTACTCGGTGCTGGCCCAAAGGGGTGGGGGGGGGCTGGGCCTGGGCCGAAGGGCTGCCTGGAGTCAGGGCGGCAGA